CCTGGTCCAGGATGCCTGGGCCGGAGATGGGTCCCCACTCGGGGGTCTGAGAGCAGAGGAGGCTCCAGGCGTGCTGTCCCCCCACCCGTCTCATGTTCCCTCCCTTCAGTCCCAAAGCCCTGGGTGGGGATGGCCCAGGGCTGCCTGGGAAGCTGGTGGCACCCATGGGTGCAGCTGACTCTGCTGCTTCCAGGTCTGCACAGGTGCTGCTGCACAGAGACGGCCCAGGAGGAGGAAAGCACAGCCCGGCCACAGACCCCACAGGCCAACGGTGCAGGTCCAGGAGGAAGCGGGTGTAGGGACAAGGGGCGCCGAGAAAAGGGGTCTCGCAAGGTCCCGCACCCCAGTGTGCGGCAAGGCTGGTTTCCGTCCAGCTGCAGCAGGCGGGCAGTGCTGGGGGCTTGTTTGGGGGATGGCAGAGCGCTGGGCGAGGACAGCTCAGAGGAAGGTCCCCTCCTGTACCACCCAGTGCCACCCCTTGTCCTGGCATTGTCTCTGCATCAGGCAGGCAGACCATCAGCTGGCTTTAGGATCCAGGACACCTTGGGTGCACATCCCCTTCCTGAAGCTGGCCTCAAGGAATGTGGCCTACACCTGCACCTGTGCACACCTGCACCTGTGCACACCTGTCCCCTGTGCACACCTGTCCCCTGTGCACACCTGCACCTGTGCACACCTGCCCCCTGTGCACACCTGCACCTGTGCACACCTGTCCCCTGTGCACACCTGTCTCTTGTGCACACCTGTCCCCTGTGCACACCTGTCTATGACATGGGTGAGTCCCTGTTCCTCCTCTGGGGACTGTCCCTTCAGACCCTTTGCCCATTTTTTATTCATTTTATTTTATTTTATTATTTTATTTTATTTTTTGGTTAACCCCCACCCAAGGATATTTTTCCATTGAGTTTTTTAGAGAGAGTGTGGGGGGAGATAAACATCCATGTGACAGAGACACATCGACTGATTGGCTGCTTGCCTCCCACAGGCGCCCTGACTGGGGCTGGGGATCAAACCTGCAACCCAGCTACATGCCCCTGACCGGGAATCGAACCCGGGACCCTTCGGTGCTGGGGCCGACGCGCTAACCGCCGAGCACACAGGCCAGGGCATTTGCCCATTTTTTAGTTTGTTTCCCTTCTCTTCCTTGGTGATTTTTAATTCCCCTTTTGCATATTGATTTGATACCCCCCTTCCCCACCCCTAACGCCAGGCATCCTCCTGGTCACTGCATCTTTGTCTTCTCACTCGGAAATACAAGACCTTCACTCTCTCCCGGTCCTGGCTCTCCAGCCGCCTGCGCCCCCTCCCCGCGGCCTCGTGCATCTGCAGGACTCTGCTGACTCTGCCTCCAACCAGCTGTGTGACCTTGGTCATGGCTCTTGACCTCTCTGTGCTTCGGGTTCCACACCTGCAAATTGTGGATAAGAGCAGCTGCGCCACGAAGCTGTCATCACGAGGAACAGGTGAGTGTAAGGTACTTAAGACAGGGCCGCTCATCGGCACCAGCTCGGGGCTGTCGCAGCTGTCGCCAAGGTGGAGCGTGAGCCCTGGGAGTCCACTGGTGGCTATCGCCGGATTCTCAGCACCCAACAACGAGTCTGGCCCATAAACACCCGAATTAAATCATCGGTTGGGGTGCCTGTGCTCTGGGCCAGGAGCAAGGACACAGGGTGTCCTCCCTCGAGGTCGGGATGTCGGGACTGAGCTCGAGTCCAGGATGGGCAGAGTGACATTTCAAAGCCAGAAGCATGGGGTTTGGAGAGTGGGACGGAGGTGACCTTGGCCATGCCTGGGCACTTGGCCAGAGGAGTGTCATCACCTCTGGAGGAGTCAGGAAGGTTCCAGAATGTTCTGGAAAGAAGAGTAGCGGGAGGGACTCGTGGCAGGGACTTGCGGCAGGCCCTGGAGGTGACCCAGCACAGCACTCACAAGTGACACCTGGCTCCTGGATGAGGTGTGAACTCCAGCGCTGACCCCTCCACAGGAGGGCCTATCGAGGTGGCAGGGCCTGTCCTACCCAGATATCAGGTACAACCCTGAAGAAAACTGATGGGCAAGGCAGCCCCACTTCAGGGGTCAAGGGCGGGCCTGGGCATGGCTGCCTGGGGGGTCACCTTCATGCCAGGGGTGCCCCACTGTGCTCGGGTGACAGCTGGGCACCTGCTGGGGGCAGGCATGTAACAGCCGAGAATGCGGGTTCCAGGGCAGATGGGGCCTGTGCCCTGCCCAGGCCCTGCAGGGCGGGATCTGGCACAGGGGGAAGTGTGGGCTGGTCAGGCCAGGGTCTGGGGAGGGTCTCCTCTCAGTGAACACCTGGGATGGGAGATGGAGAGGTGGGCACGTCCCTGGCAGTAGGGCAGGGGCCCCACAGCCACACCCTCCTCCCCAGCAGGGGTCCTGGGCCCAACACAGGTGGGTGGGAGGCTCCAGGGCAGGATCTCTGTGGCCAGAGGCTGGAAGAACGCGCTGAGCAGCACCGAGTGCCGCCTCCACCACGTAATGACTCATGGTTCAAGGAGCAGGTGGATGGGGGAAGTGTGGACAAAGGGGGGGGGCGGAGCAGCTGGCCAGCTCCCAGACTGAGGCTGGCTGTCACCATCGCCCAGCCAAAGACATGGTCCTTCCAGAATGTCCCAGCTGAGGGGGGTGGCCTGGCAGTGCCGGGGTCCTGCTGGGCCCTGTGTTGCAACCAGGACCCTCAGTGGGGCAGGAGGCAAGGGAAGGGGTGGCCAGGAAGCTGGGGAGGGGATGGAAGCTCCACCCCCAACCTGACTCCCCCAAATAAGCTGGCAACCGTGCATTAGAACTCTCCAAACCGCCCGAGTGCCACTGCCTCCAACAAGAGCTGTAATTTGGTTCACAAAGGGCCTGAGGAGAGAAGAGGAGAGGAGAGGAGGGGCGGGAGGAAAGCTGCTCCCGGGAACCCCATGGCTCCTTTCAGCTCCTGCCCAGCCCAGCCTAGCCCCCCACAGGCCCCTTCTTCCTCCAGCTCACCTGGGGCTCAGCTTCAGAAAAAGGGCCATCACTCCCCCGGCTGTCACAGCCCCCACAGCCGTCACTCGCCTGCTGTCACAGGCAGGAAGGCGGCCAGGCCCACGTCCAGGCCCACCTCCAGCCCAGGTGCAGGCACCCACACTCCTGACCGTTCCCAACACGGCCCCCCATTCGTGGGTGTGAGGCAGCACCAAGGAGCTCTGCCTGCCACCTGCGTTGGGGGCTTGTCTCTCACCTTCCGTGGGTAGCCTGGGGGAAGGGTGTGGTCCCATCTCTCTGTCCCCTTCGGGCCTGAGTTGGGCTCTGAGGAAGTTGAAGTCTGGCTTCCAGACCTTCCTCCCTGGGTGCTGGGGGGAGGTCAGCACTGGAGGGGGGGGACGGCAGACCCCCGGGGCTCAGGGCAGGGCTCTTCCGGGTCAGCCTGGCTGGAGACACCAGGGGCTTGGCTGTCAGAGCCCCGCACCTGACCCCAGGGAGGCAGGCCCGCTCCCATGTGGGTGGGGCCCAGACAGCTCCGTAACTTGGCTCTGAGTCTCCTCCTGGGTCATGGGACCCGGACTCACGGTGTACGGCCAGGCGCTGGCCTCAGCCTACGCCGTGCACTCGGTCGCCTCCAGCGAGCTCGTGGCACTGGGCTGGTGTCGGGGCCTGCAGCGTCCCACTGACCGAGGAGAGGCAATCGCCTACATTTGACAACACGTGTGTGTAAACCCACAGGACTGCACGTAGGCCCTCACACACGGGCTCACGTGTGCACACATATATGTGGTCTTTTAGAAAACACTCTTCAGACCAGGGGCTGTGGGAGCTGACGTGACTACCGAGGAGCCAGGACAGTGTGGCCTGACCAGAGCCCTGCCCAGCCCCGCATGCTCTTGGGGTCTGAACGTTTCTGGACACTGGCAGCCAGGCCCATGGAGGCCCTTCCAAAGCCAGGGCTCCTGGGTGTGGGCTGCTGCCCACTGGCCACGGCTGTGCTCAGAATCTCCAGGAAGGCCACAGGGGCGTGGGGTCCTATGGATGGTGGGCTGGGGGGCGATAGCCACCCGTGGAACCCACCTGGACCTGGGCCTCCCCGTGCCCCTCCGGTTGCACCCAGGGCCTGGGTTTGTCACGATGTTCTCGAAGCTGCAACTTCTCCCACGCCAGCTGCTCCTCACCTTGGTCTCTCTGACTCACGTGGAATGAGTGGAACTTTCTGCTTTGGGGGTGGGGGGGATGCAGGCATGGGGCAGCGGCTCAGGCAGGGGGCTCTGAGGTCATCCTCTGCAGGGAGGGAGACCCCTCCTGGCCTGGAGCACTGACTGGCCTGGGGGTCATGGGAGCCTGGAACCAAGTGTCTCTGTATGGGGAAGAGCAGGGTGAGCCCCTGGCTGGCCCGGAGACGGGTGCCTGGCTTCACTGTGGCTGGAAAGAGGTGGGGCTTAGAGCCCAGCGACCACGGCCAGACTCAGGGCCTTAGCCACCCCTCGCTGTAACCCATCCCTTCCCCTGATCCTGGGGCTCAGGAGCAGCTGGGACTGAAGCTGTGTCCACCAGTGGAGGAGGGGCCCAAAAATGGAAGCCAGGTGGCCTTTACCCCAGGCCCCCCACCATGGCCTCCTGATGGACCCTCTGGGGACCCTCAGACCAGCCTCGTGGGCAAGAGGAATGGGTCCCACTCACACCCCTCCAGGGAGCAGACAGGAACACAGAACGCTCAGTCCGGGGACCCCCTCCCCGAGTTCCAGAGCTGGGTTATTCTGGGTTCCACGAGACCAACACGGCACAGAGACATAAGCCCGGGCAGGCAATGCCTGGGCTCTGAACGGAAGTGGCGCCCCCTGAGTTGCATTGATCACACAGAGAAGTCTGCTTCCTCCAGGAAATTGGATCTCCCCTTTAATGCCCATCCTCTGCTTGGCACAGCTCAGCAGCCTCTCGAATTAGAGCACAGATGTGGCACAGACCCAAAATAAAACGCCTGAGTGTGCACGCGCTGCTCAGAGACCCCACTCCCCAGCTGCCTAGTAGGCAAAGTCGTCGAGGAAGATGCTGTCCACCTCGTCCCGAAAGGCCAGGCCCGGGCAGCCTATATCCCAGCCCCATGGCTCCAGAGGGCCGTCCGGGAACTCCTGGGAGCTGGGCCCTGGGTCCACCAGCAAGTCCGGTTCTGTCGTGTCCATCGGGCTGCTCCTGACCGGGGCCCCAGAGCGGACACTGCTACTTCTGCCCTCTAGTGACCCTGGAAGTAGACAGGACACGTCAGCAGAGCAGCAGGTACCCTGGGCCGGGCATGTAGGTGCAGGGTGGGTCAGTGTGCAGGAGAGGCCCATCCCTGCCCATCTGCCCCCGCTCTCCTCCCAGAAGCTCTCTACTCCTCTGTGAAATGGGGCCACGAGGTGCCAGGACTGATGGGGCCCACGTTTACCGGTCTTGCTCGGGACACAGGAGGACGCTTCAGGCCAGAATCAGGCAACACTAAATCCTACAGACACATTTGACTCACACTTGTCCTGACGCCCTTGTGGAGACACAGTCTAGACAAAGGACACTGAGGTCGACTCAGACTGACACACAACCAGCCCCACACGCTCTCTCTCGCAGACACTCCCACATCCCTTTCCCCTGCCCTTGTGGTGACAGCTCAGCACAGGAGAAATAGCTCAAACACAGGGACGGTGTCACACAGCAAGCTGGGCCGGTCTCATCTCCCCCCAGTCCCAGCCCCGAGTCAGGGTAGCTGAGGCTCCAGAGCCCGCCCCCGATCAGGGGAGAAGGTGACCTGCATCCCCCACTCATCCGGCCACCACTCAGGACCGGCAGTCAGCAGGGAGGATGGTGCGGCCTCCACATCACATCCTGGCATGGACCTGGACAGGCAAGAAGACCCCACCTGAGCGCTCCCAGGTAAACCAAGAGGAAGGTGCGGCTTCCGGTTCAGGGACACCGG